ATTAATCTATTAAATGGATGTTTTTATAGCATTAAGCGATACTTTTAATAATGATCTTACAAGGGTAAAACAGATTTAAGACAGAAATGGTCATAAGTGACTTTTGAATGAGCTACTATAGTTTTCGACGGAGATATTTTTAAAGTAATAAATACCAGAATTATTTGTTTCTTAACTTTATTTATATAAAATGCTACATTTTGAAGAAGCTACTGATATAATTTGCAGTTTTATATTTTAATTCAATTTTCCTCATCCGACTTTAGGAGGTACATAACTCTTTGAATTAAGATTTTTATAAAATCCATGGTACATTGTGGGTATTTTGCCGGTATTAGGTACACAGCCACAGTAATCCTTTTAGCTTTTTTTCTTCAATTGGTAATGGTGCATCATACAGTTTCGGTGGAAATTTGATAGTAGTGAAAGGCCGTCCTCTGCATTTTCGATTTAATTTTATGTCACAACCTCTAAAACCATCATCGAATTCGTATTTAAACATTATAGAATTTTCATGCGAAAATTTTATTTCTCGTATTTTCTTGTTATTTTTTTCGCAATGCTCGTTGTACAATCGGTACATTTTCTGGATAGTTAGCCCTTCTTCAAGGTACATCTTCATCGTATTCTTACGGGTATAATGGGAAGGTATTACAGGAAACTGATTTATGTGATTTTTTACGTTGTCTATAAGTTCTGGTGATAGTTTATGTGGTCTGTTAGTGTGCTTTCCACGTTTATCTTCCTCTAATGATCCACCATCTTTCAGTTTCCTTAATGCTGTAGTGATCCAAGTTTCTGAAACGTTAAGGGTTTCCAAAAACATAGTTTTGCAAACACGTTGTTTTTCATTGCGAATGTAGAAATAATATTCTCGATAGTAATTTCTTCGAGACCGTTGTTCTGCAGTAATAGTTACTTGTTTTTTGGCAACCTGTCTCACATGACGAGCAATAAAATCCCACTTTCTCATATGATCTTTTAACTTAAAAAATTCATTGAAAAAAAGGTCTCTATCTTCTTTAGCTATTTTGGTAGCACATTTTAGTTTACATGTGTTTACGCATGGTGCACCCATCTGTCTTCCTTCAATTTGAATACCTTTTCGATTTTCATGTTCAAGTCCCAGGTTTAGACTTGTTTTAGATTTTTCATCCGCCCACTTACTAACGTCTCTAATTCTTTTCCTACTTACTCTCTCTATATTGCCTCTGCTTCTTCTCTTTCTATTTGTAGTTGCTTCAGTTATTAGGTTCAATTATTACTTCAGGGATGTTTTTGTCTGCTGTCGGAATGTAATCTGGGTCAGTATCAGAGTCTGCATGAAATGGTTCCTCATCGCTTTTCTTCTCAATTATTTCATTTTCATTCCTATTGGCTTCATTCTCTTCTAAGCTTACTAAAATTAAACAAAAATGAGGTAAATGCCTAAGTAATATTTGTTCATGCGGAATTTAAACCAACCTGTAGAACATTCAGGATTAATATCAGTCTCGTGGTCACCAGGATCCTCATTCGCCTTTTTGTATTTGCTTTCTTCTACAATACTTTCGGCAATATGTTTACCTTAAAAAATAAGTAGGTTTTTACTTTGCTGTTATTATTTTAAATAAAGTTTATTATTCTTCAAAAGAACGATAAGAAATATCCGTTTCACTGTTTTTATACGCTTTCTCAGCTAATTCCAATATTAATTCATTTCTGGAACACATTATGGCAATTATAACAAAACTAAACTTTTGAACATAACCTCAAACTAACGCAGAATACCGTAGTAACTCATGTTACGACACCTATGCTATCGCCTCAGATAACAACGAAGACTATTGTAACTCAAGATGCGATGATTTTCTACGGTTGTTTTTCATAAATCGGAGATACTATAAAACTCTTACACGTAATATTGGTTGCATAACTACGTTTACTGAGATACGATTCTTTGCTGGGGAAGATATCATTATGTTTTATTGTTTTGCGCTCGTAACTCAAAAAGTGAAAAATTTGAGTTACTGCAGTCTTCGTTGGACCAGTCGATATATGCGTAGCCGTGAAAATCACAAAGCACAAACATGTTTGATGCTCCATTTAGTGTGGCTTATTTGTCATGTATTGACAAAGATAATGCTTGAGTTTGGTCGAACACATCTGCTCATCAACGCATGATCTAGCAGTCTTTGGAATTAAATCGGTTGTTGACCTTATCAACAAATTGTTGAATGCGAAACACTGGATCATAGCCTGGCTGACCTTCTCGACTACACTGCGTTTCATCTCGAAACGAAAAGTCTTTGTTTATTGTTATAAACTTTTTACAGGCTTCGTCTTCTGGATGGGGGTAAACGCATTTTTGCTGCAGTAGCTCTTGAGGTTAGGTTATCGATAAATCGACACGTACATCAACACTCTGATAAATTTCCAAATCTCCTTACTATTCGTGGCGAATTTTGTATTTATATTTTCTTGACAAGCGCTGCAGCGTTCGTTTCATTGGCTACAAAATTAATAATTTCTTTTGTGAAGAAATAATTTAGAGTTCTTTTGGTATTTTCAGTTTTTTTATTAACGATAACAACCGTGTATCTTTTCGGAAAGCTACTTCGTTACATGCAAGCGCATTGATCGCTTACACCACGTTACCTTTATAATAATGTTGGATAATCATATAATGTTTATTAGATTCCTTCCATCAGGAGTTCCATATAGTGCAACTCTAGGAGTAGTTTACACCTGAATGGGGTTAATTAACTCAAACTCACTGAATACTTATAATTACTTTATTGTTTCTCCAAGTACTGTAATAGAGAGAGTACCGAGTTGATGGATGACAACACTAGCTTCAAATGTTAACTTTTAACTCTTAATGATCTACTCCCGTTATTTTCTAGGTATTTAACTCACGTGCGTTTGTTTATGCATTCATGTTTTACATGTCATGTCATAAACAAACAATCGCTTTGAGCAATAAGCAATGAATATTATTAAAAGAGTTTAAAATTTCAAACTAAATTGGGTTACTTACTGATTTCTGGATGCTTACCAAAGGATCAGAATCTTCCACTATAGGTAATGGCGAACGAAGTAATTTCGTCGGCTTAAAACTTGCTGCATGTGTGGCATCGGCAGCTAAAGTAGATGGAATTGTGTCATCAAGATGTACATAGCGTATATATTAAATTATATTAAAACAGAATTATTAAACGCAGCAATAGTCATGGAGCATCGGATTTAATGCATGTTCAAATGGTAAGTGCTGTGAATATGATTGAGGCTGTTCTTTCAGAAGATGATGTTTCACGTCGTTTTAACGTGTCTTGGAGCGTGATTTTACATTTGTAGCGTCAATATGAACAATTTGGTAATGTCACTGCAAGACATATAGGTCGTCAACGTGAAACTACTTCTCGACAGGATCGGTATGTGGTAGGATTAGCTCCTCGAGATGTACATATAACTGTATGTGAACTCTGTGGGACCTTAGAAAAAACTCACATTACTGTATGTGATCAAACTTTGAGGAATAAATCACATGAAGCTGGTTTGCACGCTTGACGTTTTAAAGATTTCCATGTTACGTCATGGAAATCGTGGACTCAGATTACCATGTGCATTGAGGTTTACAAGAATGGAGTTCTGTGTTATTCAAAGAGTACCTGGTCAACAAAAGAGACTCAGACATGCACAGTGTTTATATACTGGTCTACATGATACTTATATTGTGAGCTGAAATAATTTTTTATCATCGAACCGTTTTTGTGGAAGGCACTTTGAATAAATATCAATATATTGATCATATCTCAGAATCTGTTGTCATTCTATTTGTCACTGCTGCACGACTTGATTTATGTTACATTTAGGATCATGAAAGGCTACATACTGCAGCTACAGTAGGAGATTGGTTCCGTAATGAGATATTAGACTTTTACTGTGGTCAGCACAATCGCTAGATCTTAATTTTATCGATCATGTATGGGATATACTTCAAGGATGTACTCAGCTGCACAATGTTCATGCTAGACAAGGTTTTTAAGATCTGTTTACACAGAAGTGGGTCTTAGTGCCAAATACGAAATTGATAATTTAAGTTTAAGCAAGCCTAGGTGGTGTCAAGCCTTTTTGTATTGACTTATATCTTAAAAATTTCTATTAAATTAGTGCACTTAGTAACTTTTGTTTGATTATTTTATCATAAAAGAACATTTTACATTAAAATTCAGATGAATTTATGGTTAACTAATCAGGTATTATAACGGTATGTTTCTTTTTAAAATCCGATCAAAATTAATGTGTATATGAGAAAAAACTGTTTTTCTTTGACATTTTTGATGTGTTTATTCTTTTTAGAAACTCGCACTTGCCAACAAAATCTTTTCTTTTTTTATTCATACCTATTATTATTTTCCAATCTGGTGAAGTGTTAATAGTAACTAAAATTATTAACAATTCGTTAACTAAGAAATTTTCGCATTTCTACTTTAGTGATTTATTCTCAGATGTCATATTATTGTTGCTTCTTTTGACGGAAAAGTTTTGATTTCACATTTAGAGCTTTTATACTAGTCGCTCTGAGGTATCCTGGTAGGATGAAATACGTATAAGCGAATATAAAGGGGCACCATATACGTGAAATCAAATCTAACGGTCTTTTCTTTTATTTCGTTTTACTCTTTATTAGTACAAGACACGAGTTCACCAAGGATTTTTGCTTAGATGAGGTGATATGTTGTGGAATGCAACTTTTAGATTCAATATCTCCTTTTTACACCTTTTCCTTCGTCTATATTGCCTTGCATTTATAGAAGGCATAGATAAAAGCAAAGGTTTAAATTTTGGAATCGTCATTCAAGAAATCTTCGCATTTCTACTTTGATTTTTTATTCTCAGATGTCACATGAGGCACTATATACATCAAATCAAATCTTAACTATCTTCTCTAAAATTATAAAGTTCATGTATATCCTTTAGAATCACATTACTTATCTAAGCACGTTTTTATGTTTTAGGTTAAAATGACAGACGCAGATATAAATAGTTATCCAGACCGGATTGCGGACTACTACAAGAATAAAACCCTATTTATTACAGGAGGTACAGGATTCGTAGGAAAAGTTTTGGTTGAAAAACTATTAAGATCCTGCAGTGATTTAAAGAGAATGTATTTGTTAATAAGATCTAAAAAAGGTAAACGACCGGAAGAGAGGATTAAAGATTTGGTTAATGATCCAGTAAGTTAAGATAATTTTAAATATTCTTTTAATTTTGGTCACATATATTAAATGTAATTTAAAATATTTTTTCTTGTTTACATGTTTCCTTATAAAATGCAATTAGAAGAGAAAAAATATTTTAGGTGCTATTGTAATATTTCGATGGATATCACCGTTTTCGATTTATTTAAACTCGAAGGTATACATGTATTTTATTGTAATCGTTACATTTCTTAATATTCATCAAGTATGCTTTGGAATTGACACTTGTGTTAGCAATACTATTACAAATTAATGGAAAAATTAATTAATACTTCACATTTAAATAATGGCGAAAATAATATTTCAAAACAACTGTTCAAAATGTCCTCCATTTTGTTGAATACATAATTTAATTCTTTTATTTAGCGAACGCATTAATCCATTTAATGTTACTGGATCGTTTTGTAAATCGGTAAATACTTGTTCAATTTTGTCTCTTAACTAATTTACTGTATGAATTGGAGTGTTATACACTTTTGATTTCAAATAACTCTATACTGTAAAGTCCATTGGATTAAGATCACAACTACGAGCAGGCCAATGAATCGGTGCATCCGCACCCCGGCCTATCCACCTATCAGGGAAATGTTCATGTAACCACCTTCTACAAATTCTTGTATAATGTATTGTAGCACCATCATGCATGAAAAACATGTTTCTTCGTATTTGTAATGGAATATCTTCCAAAATATCATGTAAAATATTGTCTAGAAAATTGTAATACATGTTACCATTTAAATTTTCGGAAAGATGTGGTATCCTATGAAACTATTTCCTAAAGTAGCTGCCCAAACGTTTATCTTGAACGTGTGTTGGAAGTGAGTTTCCATTGTAGCCCTTGGATTTTCTTCATATTTAAACATACCTTGTCTTGTAAATGTGGCCTCGTCTGTAAACATAATGTTGCTTAAAAAATTGGTGCAGTTTGAACTTTATTTTGCAATACTTCACAAAAATCAACTCTGAGTGGCATATTGTCAGGTAACAATTCCTGCACCTGTCGATAGTGGTAAGGATGTAATTGCTCTTCATGCAGAACTCTTAAAATACTTTGATGGGAAATATTCGTTCTTAATCCTAACCTGCGTGTACTTATTGTGGGGTCATTTATTACAGCATCCAATATTTGCTGTTCAACGCGAACATTTCTTGCTTCTCTACGACGACCAGCATCTGTATTCCTTCTTTGAAGACAACTGGTTTCTCTCAGTCGTCGTTCAGTACTTATAAAAGTCCTGGCATTGGGAATATTTCTGTTCGGATACTTTTCTCTGTAGCGTCTTATAGCTACTAATAATACTAAAAGTATGTCTGTCATCTCAGAATTTGAATAGTGCGGGCAAACAAATTTACAAATATAGCAAAAGAGACGTGTTAAACAAATTTCACTGTCGAGTAGAATAAAAGTGTAGATAAAATAATTTAATTGTTATTAAACGTCACTGACAATTCATAGACTACTTGAGATTAAAGTATTGTTGCTAACACAAGTATCAATTCCAAAGCATACTTGATGAATATTAAGAAATGTAACGATTACAATAAAATACATGTATACCTTCGAGTTTAAATAAATCGAAAACGGTGATATCTATCGAAATATTACAAGAGCACCTTTTTTGCGTAGAAAAATCTAAGGAAACAATTTTTAAAATATGTAAAAATTAAAAAACATGTGATGAAATAACCCCCACTTACCATCCAAAACTACCCTATATTAATATAGGATGTGGTATGTGGTAACATGAAATTAATTATCCTAATGTCTTATAATCACTTCCAAAATATGAACTCTGTATTCAAAACCGTTTGGAAGATATTTGAAAAAATAAGAATTTCAATTCACCCCTTTAAAGGGTTGTATCTCTCTTATTATTAAGTTTTATGAAAAAGTGTACATAAAGAAGTACCCTTATTTTTGGACGTACTATGAGCTTTAGAAATTAATGTACATAATTCTGGACCACCTTGTATATTATGGATTATTGTATACCTTAACTTGGGTAAACCTATAACAACAATAAAATTAGCTACATATCCACTGGATATAAAAATATACTACAAACATATGCTTCCACGGAAGACAAAGAATATAGTAGGATTGAAGTTTTATTAGAAGTTTTAGCTATGACAAAAAACACAAACTTTCTCAGTTAGATCAGAATGTAATGTTAATGTTAGTAGATAGTTCTGCCAAGAGAAATAAATACCCGTAAATACTTACGTTTTGTCTTACAAAACATTGTCTTTATACTACTGATATTCGATCAGATCATAATCTACTTTGCTCTACAACTAGTGTTAGGCTAAAAAGAGTCTAAAAAAATCTCCTACAATAGTACTCTGATGTTACACATACCGGATGCTTTTTAAGATTCATGCACTCTACATAAAGTTTCTCAAAAACTTATTAACAAATTTTACGATATTTGACTGGACGGTACCAAAAACATAAATAATTGCTGCATAATGACAAAGATTAAGTCCTTTATATAGGGTAAGGAAGATGGCTACCATGCGAAAGTTCTTTTTAATGATTTAGATGGCAAATAATAGCTTCTTTCCGTTTGAGAAAATGAGTTTTTTCTGGTATATCTTGCAGATATGTTGATTCATCCAGAAAGCTTTTTCTCGATTTGCGTCTTTATGCGGTAGACTGGTAATCGTGGAGTGGATAATGCAAATCTAGAGTTTGTTTCTTTCGTTTCACATCTCTAGCTGCCTCTCTTCGGATATTAGGTGAAGTAATACCTACGATAGGGCAAAGCTTATGTATGGGTGAGGTTCTCAAATACCCCCTGATGAATCATTGATAACTATATCTACGTGTCTAGCGTATGCTGATGCTTCCCATACTGGCGAGGCATATTCAGCAGCAGAAATACAGAGTACGCGTCGTCGCATCTTTCTAAAGGTGAAAGAACGCACCGTTAGTATATTATTAAACACAAAATTACGCCTTGTTCGAGCATTGATATTTTTTATCACCACCTATGCTTTGTGGTGTATATGATATGTATATGTATATGATATGATATGTACCATGTCCTTTCAGAACGTTGGTTACCATCATAGCTATTTTAATTTTATTCACTGCCACCCTAAATAGCATGCTTGTATCTACACCATACCAGTCTCGCAAGTTCTTCAACCATGAGGTTCTTCTTCGCCCTGGACTGCGTTTGCCTGCTATTTTTCCTTGCATGATGTTTTGTAGCAATCTATATTTGGGACCTCTCATTACATGTCCGAAATATTCCAGGTTTCACTACACCATTGAATATTCAGTTTTCTTGAAGTGTCTGTTACAAAAGAGCACACCTGTGTTTTACCGATGTTTGGTTTAAGACTGTTTGATTCGTAATTTGTTTTCATTATGTTTAAGCCTTCGGTTAGTGTTGTGGTGTAATACATCTTTTGGAGAAGTCTTCTGTAATTTGTGTTGTAACAAGCGGCAGTGAGATTTCCAAATTCCACCCCGGATACCTGGCGTCTTTTATACTCGTCTTCGATGAATTGGATAAGATTTAGTAATAGTGATCTACATGATCTTTCCGGTCTAAAGCCACTTTGATTTTTTATTAGTTTTTCGTCTATTCTGGATGAAATTCATGCGCTCAAGTATTTTACATAGGTGACGGAGCAAAGACATGGGCAGACAGCTTTTGGGGTCCTTGGTATCTTTGTTATGTTTAAGCAAGGTAATAAAATGGGCTTGTCTTCAGACTTTGGACATCTGCATAGTTTGAACACAGTTTTTCATCATCTAAAGGAGCCATTGTCGTGAGTCGTTATTATTTTTAATTATTTGGTTCTACGCTAAGCATCCTTGAAGAGTACTCTCACCTGACTGGTTTTGTCTTTTTCCATTTTAGTTTTTTCTGCCTCCTTTTTTAAGTGCTCGGCCATTTTTAAGGAGTTATGAGGCCACTTGGTTTGCTGTAACATTTGGGAAATTGTTTGTCCTTTCACTAGGGTTCTGGCTAAGATTCTTCAATAATTTTCAAGCCAGGTCTACTATTCTGTGCCTTGTTCATATTTTCCATGAGATTTCACCGTTTGGATTTTCGTTCGTCTAAAATGGCAGAAAGTAATATTTCTTTACGTAGGTGAGTATCATTACTGAAAAGACCTTCATGATATAGTTTTTGATACCGATTGAGCAATGAAACAGAGTCTGGAGTTGGTAAATCCAGTATCCGCGCAGAATGTTTTTTTTACAAACAGTTATCACAATGTTGATAAATTAGTTTTCTGGTGTTGGACGATCTTTTGCCCCTAATACACGATTCTCAAGTAATGCATTTATCTTTTTTTAAGTTCTTTTTGTTTACTCACTATTGTTTTTACTATTCCCAAAAAGTAGCGTAAAAAATGTAGCAACTATCAACTTGTTACCATGTGAGGGTATAATTGGTGATGATCAGTTTTGTTTTTGAAGCGGAATCTGAATCGCTTTTTTTACATGCAAGTAATTTTATAAAAAAGCATTGAGTTTAACTTAAAATTAGACCATGTCTAATTCAAACCAAAGTTATTAGCCAACTGGTAGAGTTAGCTTGTAGTTTTGATAGAGCACAGGTGCACTACTATTTCAATGTATTAAATGCTTAAACTTAATTGGTCTAAGCAACTATGATATCAGATTGTTTAAAAATTTACTGCGATCAGTAAATTCCGGACATTCAGGGACAAAAACAAAATATGTATTCAGATTGTATTCAACTATGTCTCACTTTAGATGTTTAAATTTTTCTACAGCTTCTAAAGTTTTATTACCTTTAGAAAATAACCATACGTTAAATATTTTTGGGTTAGGCATTTCAAATCCCATGAGACTTTCCTATTATACAGTTAAGATTTACAACATTTTTCCAATATAATCTGTTTGTTCCTATCAGTTCCATTCGGATTTGTTTTCCATACTGCTTGCCATAATTCACTCAATTTCATCTTCGAATGGACTACGACTTTTA